AACACAGAGGCAGGTGACTAGTGAGTATCATAGTGGGCTTCACAGCTCTAGATCTCTCTCTCTCTCTCTCTCTCTCTCTCTCTCTCTCTCACACACACACACACACGCGTGCGCGCACTCTCCAACACACAAACGAAAGGCCTGAGGAAGATGATCTCTGTAGCTATATCCTCCTATTGCTGTCTAGAAGGTGGCTCCATCAACTCCAGCAGGGCATCCTCCTAATCATGGGCTTCTCCCTTCCTCTCCCCTTCCTCCCTCATTTTTCCTTTTTCCTCATTTCCTCCTAGCCTCAGACAGCACTGTTGTTATAGTAGGTACTAAAACATGGAACAGAACGTCAAAAAATGTATTTATCTGGTAAAGCAAAAAAGAAAAAAAAATGTAGGTAGGTAGGCAGACATGAGCAACGCAGGGGAGGCCCCCTACCCCAGGAATGTCACGCAACCGTTAGGTGATGGTCAGGTGGTTGTTAAACTGTCTCGCTAAAATAATAATTGGTCACAGCTGGTGCCAGGGAAAGGCAGCCTCCCAACAGATAGAAAACACCTGAAACTGGTTATCAGCAGCTTCCTGATAAGATCTCAGGAGCTGGGTGAGTAGGCCCAAGCATGTTCACTTAGAGGCAAATGTCGAAGTCTAACTGGTATATGATCTTTCTCTAGGAACACTCGAATGGTAAGCGAAAAATGCCTCCAATGAGCATGTACACAACTTCAGTAAACACACTGCATATATGGCCTGTATTAGTCCATTTTCACACTGCTGATGAAGACATACCTGAAACTGGAAGTAAAAAAATGTTTAATTGAACTTACAGTTCCACATGCCTGGGGAGGCCTTAGAATCATGGCAGAAGGCAAAAGGCACTTACATGGTGGGAGCAAGGGATAATGAGGAAGAAGCAAAAGCAGAAACCCCTGATAAACTCATCAAATCTCCTGAGACTTGTCTACTATCACATGAATAGAATGGGAAAGACCAGCCCATGATTTAATTACCCCCGGGTCCTTCCCACAACACACAGGAGTTCTGAGAGATACAATTCAATTTGAGATTTTAAAGGACACACAGCCAAACCATATCATTTTACCCCTGGACCCTCCAAATCTCATATTCTCACATTTCAAAACCAGTCATGCCTTCCCAACAGTCCCCTAAAGTCTTAACTCATTTCAGCATTAACCCAAAAGTCCACAGTCCAAAGTCTCAGATGAGACAAGGCAACTCCCTTCTGCCTATAAGCCTGTAAAATCAAAAGCAAGCTCGTTACCTCCTAGATACAACGGGGGTACAGGTATTGGGTAAATACAGCTGTTCCAAATGGGAGAAATCGGTCAAAATAAAGGGGCTACAGGGCCTATGCAAGTCTGAAATCCAGCAGGGCAGTCAAATTTTAAAGCCCCAAAATGATCTCCTTTGACTCCAGGTCTCATATCCAGGTCACGCTGATGCAAAAGGTGGGTTCCCATGGTCTTGGGCAGCTCTGCACCTGTGGCTTTGCAGAGTACAGCCTCCCTCCTGGCTGGTTTCACGGGCTGGTGTTGAGTGCCTGCAGTGTTTCCAGGTGCATGGTGCAAGCTGTCAGTGGATCTACCATTCTGGGGTCTGGAGGATGGTGGCCCTCATCTCATAGCTCCACTAGGTGGTGTCCCAGGAGGGACTCTGTGTGGGGGGCTCTGACACCACATTTCCCTTCCACACTGCCTAGCAGAGGTTCTCCATGAGGACCCCGTGCCTGCAGCCAACTTTTGCCTGGGCATCCAGGTGGCATTTCCATACATCTGAAATCTAGGCAGAAGTTCCCAAACCTCAATTCTTAACTTCCATGCACCCACAGGCTCAACACCATGTGAAAGCTGCCAAAGCTTGGGGCTTCCACCCTCTGAAGCCACAGCTCAAGCTCTGTGTTAGCCCCTTTCAGCCACAGCTGGAGCAGCTAGGACACAGGGCACCAAGTCCCTAGGCTGCACACAGCACCAAGACCCTGGCCTAGCCCACAGAGCCACATTTTTCTCCTGGGCCTCTGGGCCTGTGATGGGAGGGGCTGGCGTGAAAGACTCTGACATGGACTGGGACATTTTCCCCATGATCCTGGGGATTAACATCAGGCTCCTTGCTACTTATGCAAATTTCTGTGGCAGGCTTGAATTTCTCTTCAAAAAATGGGTTTTTCTTTTCTACTGCATCATCAGGCTGCAAATTGTATGAACTTTTATGCTCTGTTTCCCTTTTAAAACGGAATGCTTTTAACAGCACCCAAGTCACCTTCTGAACGCTTTGCTGCTTAGAAATTTATTCTGCCAGATACCCTAAATCATCTAAAGTTCAAAGTTCCCAAATCTCTAGAGCAGGGGCAAAATGCCACCAGTCTCTTTGCTAAAACATAACAAGAATCACCTTTGCTCCAGTTCCCAACATGTTCCTCATCTCCATCTGAGACAACTTCATCCTTATTGTTCGTATCACTATCAGCATTTTAATCAAAGCTATTCAACAAGTCTCTAGGAGGTTCCAAACTTTCCCACATTTTCCTGTCTTTTTCTGAGCCCTCCAAACTGTTCCAACCTCTGCCCTTTATCCAGTTCCAAAGTCGCTTTCACATTTTCCTGTATCTGTTCAGCAGCACTCTACTCTACTGATGCCAATTTTACTGTATTAGTCTGTTTTCACACTGCTGATAAAGATATACCCAAGACTGGGAAGGAAAAATGTTTAATCAGAATTACAGTCCATATGGCCAGGGAGGCCTCAGAATCATATTGGGAGGTGAAAAGCCCTTCTTACATGGCAGCAGCAAGAGAAAATGAAGAAGAAGCAAAAGTGGAAACTCCTGATAAACCCATCAGGTCTAGTGAGATTTATTAACTATCACAAGAATAGCATGGGAAAGATCGGCCCCCATGATTCAATTACCTCCCCCTGGGTTCTTCCCACAACACGTGGGAATTCTAGAATATATAATTCAAGTTGATATTTGGGTGGGGATACAGCCAAACCATATCACAGCCCCTCCCAAATGCTGGCAGGCCACTGCACATGTGGACAGTCCACTCCAGAAGAATCAGGGTGAGGCAGGAGAATAGGGTCTGGAGCCAGAGAACCTAAGGCTGCTTCATGCTGACTTCCTAGAACTAAACCAAAAGAAAAACCCCAACTTCCCACATGTAAGTAACAAAAGGACTAGAGGCTACTCCTTTTGCACCTCCCACCCCTGCTTTTCTGCATGAAAGATGGAAAATTGAAAGTATCTCTGATTGGTTGCTGTTTGCAACCAATCACATGTTTGCATAGGGGTGTAACTTGTAGCATCACTCAGCCTCTGATTGGTTGCTTTCCACAACCAATCAGACTGATTGTGGCCCACTACTTCATCTAAATAGGGTACACCAAGTAACTAATGGGAAATCTTTAGAGAGTATTTAAACCCCCAAAAAATTCTGTAATGGGGCTCTTGAGCCCCTGTGCTCGGGCCCATTCCCACCCTGCGAGTGTACTTTCATTTTCAATAAATCTCTGCTTTCATTGCTTCATTCTTTCCTTGCTTTGTTTGTGTGTTTTGTCCAATTCTTTGTGCAAGATGCCAAAAAGCTGTTCACCCTCCACCAGTAAATGGGGAGAAGAAATGCAACACCTGGAATTATGCCAGTGTATAAATACCCCAAGGCAAGGTCTAAATGGCACACTTGACTCTCTCAAGTTGTCCTCTTGGCCCTCTTCCAAGTGTACTTTACTTCCTTTTGCTCCTGTTCTAGAACTTTTTAATAATCTTTCACTCTTGCTCAAAAACTTGCTTCAGTCTCTCACTCTGCCTTATGCCCCTCAGACAAATTCTGTCCTCTGAAAAGGCAAGAATTGAGTTGCTGCAGACCCGCACAGACTTAACACTGCTAACACTAAGACGTCTTCACTGGGTCCAGCTCCACTTTCACAATACGAGTCCCACAGATTTGCACAAGTCACCAAGCAGTTTTCATGTCTATTTCTTTTTCATGGATACTATATTTTTTCTTGGAAGTGTTACATAAGTAACAAAAGGACCAGAGGCTACTCCTTTTGCACCTCTATTAAAGTGTTAATAGGTTCTCACTTATCACATATATATTCATGTGTGCTATTTGGGAGTGCTTATCATTATTCTTATAGTGGCATTTCCTTTGATTCAATTAAAAATGTTTTAGGTGTTAGTTCCAGGATCACCAGATAAGCCCCTGATAAAGCACAGACTTCCTGTACTACACTTAGATCCTCTATTCAAACAAATCTTTTCTTGCTTCAGGTATTATATGACTTACTCTTTTCTCTTTATAATAAACTTTTCTATAATGTTTGTTTATAAATTTGTGTATTTGAACAAATTTGATATTAACTTTTTCAGTTTTAATTTATATATTCTGTTTCTAGATCACCAATATAATTTATCTATACCCTATTTGCCAATTGATGGGGATAGAAAAAGCAGCAAGGGCTTACATATTAATTTGTATTATTTTTCTTTAAAAGCAACATCTGTTCATATGCATATTATCAAGTACTTAAAACATGGGCATATTCTGCAACATAACTTCACACTAGTTTTCTATTCTTTTATAGAATTATCTCCAAATGAATAAGAAAGAGAGAAAAAGAAATAGAGGCAAGGTAAATAGAAAATGAGTAGAAAAGGCAAGAGGCTCTGGAATTTCTCTAGAAGAAACCAAGTCTCAGGACAGGGTGGTGGGTGTGTATGACAGTATGCATTTGGTAGGAAAATTGTTAGAGAAAGGAGATTCTGGGACATGAAGTGGGTCTGGGAAATGCCTCATAATTTCAAGAAAGCTCTAGAAGGGCCGAGTTGGCAAGCAGAGGAAAATGTCCAGGAAAGGCCTTGGTAACACAGAGGTGGGAGTGTCATAGGGGCAGCTGGCTCCATGAGACTCATTTATGATCCTCCATGTACCCGCTAATATGCAAAATGTTTCCATTCATCCAGAAAATAACTTAAATAAGAAAAATGTTACCTGTGATGTCCCGAATAACGTGGACCACGGATATGGCCTATTCCTCGGCACCCGGGAGTAGGACAGACAGCTTGACCTGGAAGGATTTTCACATCATTCGTTCCTTCAGGAAGTAAAAGAACATGCCTTGAAAACACCCTCAATTAAAGAAGACCGCAAATCTGAAATATGTAAATGATGCTAATTAAGACTTTGCAAATTAAACAAACCATCACCAAAAACCACTTACAGGTGACTTATGATGTTTTATTAATATTAAATGATTTAGCAGAAAATACCAGTGCTGTAATAAATAACACTAACAGCACAACCCATATCAGAGAGAGAGGAAAATGAATAGGCACTAAAATTTTTAAAAACAGATATGAGAACATTCACTTATTTCTTTCAGAGATTAATAATGGCAAAGGCAATACAGCCGCATTCACTTATTTCTTTCAGAGATTAATAATGGCAAAGGCAATACAGCCACAAGCTGAGAACACGAGCATGTAAGGTCTGCTGTGGGGTCCTCAGTGAAGCCTCCACTCAACCAGAACAAGGATCTTGGAATACTGGACAGAAACTGGGCTAGCAAAGGGGGCATGCTGAAGATGGCACATATGCCCACACTTACTCAAGTGGCAGTCAAAGCTAGGCAAAGAAAGAACTGACATTATGCTACTCTATACTAATACTATGCTATACCATACACTACATCATACTATATGCTACACTGTGCTATATACTATACTATATACTACATTGTACTCTAAGCTACCATGTACTATATACTATACTCTATGCTACATCATACTATATGCTACACTGTGCTATATACTATACTATATACTACATTGTACTCTAAGCTACCATGTACTATATACTATACTCTATGCTACACCATGCTATATGCTACACTGTGCTATATACTATACTATATACTACATTGTACTCTAAGCTACCATGTACTATATACTCTATGCTACACCATACTATATGCTACACTGTGCTATATTGTACTATATACTGTACTGTACTGCATTGCACTGCATTGTACTCTATGCCAAGCATTTTGTCAAGCCCAAGAGGCAGTGTAAATCTAAATATTATCAGTATCAAAACCTTCATGCCCTGCTCTGTTATTTTCCTCAGTCTTCTCTACCCCTAAACACACACATTCACACGTGGGTACACACACACATGCACACTCACACATATCAGTTCCTGGAATGTCCCATCCCATACCTCCTACTGTTCTGGGCCTTACTTCCCTGACAATCCCACACTTTCTTTCTCCCCTCCAAGCTCTCAGACTTCATTTCCTGTTCAACAAACTCCTGCTTCCTCATCCTCATCTCAATATTCCCCATCTCCCAGTTCTGGTTTCATGGGGCAGCGACCTGAAGATGTGGCTTCCCACAGCCCTCCACAGGGGTCACATGACTCCAGAGCTGCAGGGAAGTCAGGGCGGTCTTCCTTTCTGTGCCTCAAGGCCATGCCTCTTAAGTCTCCTCTTCTGAGTCTGACACCTTAGCCTTCCACTGTCTGCCCACTATTTCCACATCAGGCGGGGAAGACTTTGGCACTGGCTCTCCGTGTTCTGCTCTGTCCCAAGTCTGGCAATCACTCAGGCATGCCCAGGTCCCATGCACTCATCCTGCTGGCTCTGCCACCGGAACACTTCAGTCAGTCACTTCCTGGGTCTAGTGGTCCCCAATCCATCTGGGCCACACAAAGAAAACCCTCTGGGTCTTGTAATCACCCAAAATGGCTTTGCATCTAAAATCCCACCTGACCACAAAACCATATCTGTCCATACCGCATGCTCAGGTGCCTCAAGTGCTGCTGATGTTTTCAATGCCAATGGAGTTTCCAGGCCACTAACTTCCCTTCTTCTCTTCCTCAGCCCCTTCTGAGGGGCCATAATCCCTTCCCTTGTCTAACTTAGATTCTGTCAACTTTATTTAACCCTCTCTTGCAAGGATCTTAAACTCCTTTGCTCTCTGACTTTTTTATCACGTCTGGCTGTGGAGGAAAAAGAAGGAGCCAACGACAGATCACCTGAAACAACCTGCTGCTCTGTGTTTTGCATAATGAAGTTCTCCTGGAGAAAAAAAAACGCACATCATGCAGACAAGGTGTTACCAAAACACCAGCTTTCCACACTGCCACTGACCTGCGCCCTCAGTCCTCCACAGCAGAACTTCCCTGCTGCTAACTGAGGACCAGGCGCCCGTGGACAGAGCGACTCCTCACCGCTGGCCCAGCACTTCCCCTCCTTCCTTTCCACTGCAGTGCGGGATGCACTTTCCCCTCTCCAAAGCAAATCCCTCACCATCTATGCTTGATCTCATCACCCTCCATTCTCCAGCATCTGCAAGCCATGATATATTTCAATCACTCCTTGACTACTGACCAACGTTTAAACATGCTCCAGTTTCCATCATAAAAACAAAGACAAAAGAGAAAACAAAAGTTTGCAACTCAACTTGGATCCCACATCCCCTCTTAGCTGCTGTTCCCCATCCTTGTTCAGAGGAAACTTCTCAAAGTAGTTATCTCCTCCTCCTCAGGGCTCCTTTCCTGAGCCACATTTGTTTTACTATCTCTACACATTAGGACCCAGACTCAGTCAGTATTTTCATGAAACCTAATGACACTGTAATGCAAATTTATAGTTTATATACAAGCTTCTTTTCTAGACTCTGAGTCCCTCTCAAAAGAACTATGGAATACTCACATATTCCACAAGCACTTACTGAGCTACTGATCACTGCCTTGCAGAATAGGTATTTACTGAAACTGTATACTGTACCATATGCTACAGCATAAAGTTTAGAATATAGTTGGCAGTCTTCTGGAATTGCTGTTGTCCGCTGGCTTTGGCAGCATCGCACTCTGACAGTTTTCCTTCTGCATATGAGCATTCTTTTGTAATCTCCTTTGCATTTCCTCCTCTAATCAACCTGAAATGTCAGGCAACATCCATTGATTCCTGGGCCATCCATTTCTACAGCTTCATTTACCAATTGTATGCTACAGACGCTCACAGACTATAGCCCAGGCATTCTTGAAGTTCCAGACCAATTTATCCATCTTTCCACTTGATGTCTCCATAGTTATTTCTTAAAGTCATTTCAAACTCAACATGTTCAGACTGAACCTATTGTCTTGTTCCCCCAGCCTTCTTTTCCTCTAGAGCAGCTCATCTCCATGACTGTGTTACCCTCCAGTAAGAAGCCTGGATCTTTTACATCCTCTCTCCCTCATTTCACAGCACCCTATCAATCTGTCTTCAATTTTTCAAATATTTCTTTTATCTACCAACTTATCTTCATCACTACTGTGACTGGTCTAATCCAAGCCATCTTCCTGTTTGAAGAATCGCAATAGTGATTCTTCACTCATCCTAATGTCTTTTCCATCTTGCAACCAGAGTAATCTTCTAAAATCACAGATCTAATCATATCACTTCTCTCTTAGCACATTTCAATGGCTTCTCATTGCTGTTAGGATGAAACTTCAAATTCTTAACCTGGCCCAGCTGATGTATGATTGGACTTGATTTTTCTCCTCATTCAGGATTCTGCAGTCTCCTGTTCCTTAAACATGCCAGGTTCATTCAAACATCAGGACATTTGCATATTGGCAAAAGCATTCCATTGTCCGCTTGGATAACTTCTGCTTATCTTTTATGTCTTGGCTTATATTTCACTTCCTCAGGCTAACTGCTGAGAGGAGGTTAGGTCCCCATTTTATATAGCACCTACCTCAATTACAAATTAAATAATTATTTGTTTAATGTCTATCTCTCTTATTGGACTATCAGCTGCAGGCATGAGTCTAGTTCACCACTGATGCCACCGGTATCCAGCATGACACATTGATAGTGCTCAGTTAGTGTGGAATAGGTGAGTATTCCTTTGAGAGACACTCATAGTCCAGAAAGGCAGCTTATATATTAGCAATACATTTGCATTACAGTGTAATCAGGTTTCATGGAAATACTCACTGAGGCTAGGTCCCAATGTGTGGTGATATTAAAACAAATATTTAAGCCTCAAATACATTTTCATTACATTTACTGAACCATAGGAAAGTATGTCTTAAGTACATCTTATGCTCTCATGACTTTGTGAAACACATTGAGGCATAAATAGAGAAAAAAAGAGCTACCCTACTCAAAGTCAGCTTTTGGAAACAGCTTTTTAAAAAACAACTTTTAAACAAATCAGAGGAAGTGATGTTTAAAAACTGTAAACAGGACAGGCATGGTGGCTCATGCCTGTAATCCCAGCACTTGGGGAGGTTGAAGTTGGAGGATCTCTTGAGGCCAGGAATTTGAAACCTGTCTGGGAAACATAGGAATTTGAAACCTTATTTCTAAAAAGATAAAATAAAAAAATAAAACGTTTAGAAAGTTATCTGGGCATGATGGCATGTATCTATAGTCCTAGCTACTCTGAAGTCTAAGACAAGAGAACCTCTTGAGCCCAGCAGTTCAACCAGTCTGGGAGACAGTGAGACTGTATCTCAAAAAAAATTATAAACAAATCATTAAGAAATATGCTTTTGTCATTCTAAAAATATATAGTATTTCAGTAAAGGGATCTAAGAGAAAAGAAACATAGAGTATATAAACAGTTTTCTCTAAACTGCATCTCACAATATATTACCCAAGCTATCATTATAAAGGTCTAGAATATTAAACCCACAAACAAAAAAGCAAAAAATACTGTCAGCCAGCCCAGATGGAACTCTGCATGGACATTTTACACACAATAGTGACCTTTCAATGAATGCTACTTAATATTGTTTTCAGTACTATTTTATGTACTTTATTAAATTAAGGTTTAAACCAATGTTTTTAATATTTATCAATGCATATTCATCTCCATATCCTGATGGATACCATCACTCTCTCCTAGGTAGAGCTGGAAGGAAAGCCATGACCTCAACTGGGGGAGAAGAACCATCACATTAAGAACTGCAGCAAATACATAACAAAGAGTCAAGAAGAACGGGAAATAAAAATGCATGGGATCTAGCAATTTCCTCATTAAATTGTGAATGATGAAGTATAATAGGTTGAATCAATGGCAAATAAGACAAGGAGCCATC